GTGCCCCAGTTAACGCTGTTTTCAAAAGCCGCCCGTAAGCCACATCTTAAACTTTCTTTCTTCCATTCACCTTCAGATGTGGGAAAATCTGATGGGAGGAATGCAGGGACTTGCGCTCTGTGTTTATTTGGCAAAATTTTCAGCTAAAACAATCAACATCTCTGTGCCTTGTGATCTGCAAAATTGATAAGGCCACAGTCAGGCTGTAGTAAGACTAGCAGCAGGTGCCTTGCCAGGTAGTGGGGGGATAGAGAAGATGCTGATAAATGGGTTCAGTTTCCCACATAAAGCACATCGCCCTATGGAGGGATGAGGGATAATGTATGCAGAGTTCACAGGCACTGTGGGTTGCTGCTGCAGGGCGGATGGACATCTTTGGAACAAAATGATAGTTGCATAGAGATGAGGAGACTTTCACAAGGTATTTCAGCCGAGTTGAGCACTCGCAGGAAATGGGGAATAGACTTCTGTGATCTGCAGTGCCATAACTGTATGCTTGCTTTACTCAGATGAGAGAAGGTGTAATGACATAGGAGTGGTCTGCAATAGAAGGTTTTTTTTTCATTCAAGTAAAAATATAAGGGTAAGTTTATCTTGTGATCCTAAAACATGTCTATTTGCTTTTTTAAATGGTTAAGGATGGATTTCTGATCCTGTTAACCAAAGCTTAACCTCCAACTGAAGCTAACTAGCTGAAGCTTTCTGTGCTAACACTAGCTGCTAACCAGCTGGTAATGAATGTGCTGGTCCTGTGAGGTCAAGCCTGGTTGTCTGGGGACCCATTAGTGAGGTGTGTGAGTCCTCCCAGCCCCATGCTCTCTCTTTCTCCCCCTGCATGGCTCCTCTCTCCTGCAGGTTCCAGCTAGCAACACAGCCCCAGTTCAGCGCCAGAGGCCAGGCAAAACTCTGTCCAGGGACCCCACCTCAATGAACTGTCATTTGTCTCGGCCATCCTGGCAGCACTACAGGCTGCATTAAGCTTTGATCTATGGTGCGTGCCAGGCTACTTTGTCCTGGGATTCAGACAATGTATCTACTGCAGAACTGATCTGAGTTGGACTGAGGTTTGAATTAACTTCTTTGTTGTGTTTCAATGTGGATGTTTAATAAAATTACATGTTTATAAAAATCTCAGTAATTTTTATAAAGGTGCTGTACTACATACGTATCACCGTCAGCACAACAATATCTTTTGAATCAGACAAAGCTGTTGGGCGAAAGCCTTTCTCTGCCTTCTGGTTTACAGTATCTCCAGTCTACTGTGTCCTGGCTCTGGTGTTAAGTGTCTTTCCAAAGGGTCTGTGTTGCTGTTAACACTCACACGTTTACTTTTCAGCGCCGGGCTCCTTCAGATGGCCTCGTCGTTTTACCACATCCCCCCTTTTTGCCTTATTTCAGGGATTTTTAACAAAACTGTTAAGCTGTATGTGATGAAATGAGATCTAGGGTTTAGTGCAATTTCACTGCACCCCTGCTTGAGTTTCTCAGCGGTGACTACTTTGTTTTCCTGCCCCTGGACCCTTTGCTGGTGTATACCTCTCTTCTCGTACAACGTCCCTGGAGCCCGGCCAATTGCCAGGCCTCGACGAGAGCTGTCAAACCCAATTCTGCCAATGGCGGGTGTTGAAAGCTGGCATGGTAGACGTTGAAGAAAAGCTGGCATGCTGCTGTCACATTACTCCTCAGTAGGGGGAAGTTGCAAGTGAGATCATTTTGCAGAAACACTACAAAGACACATGAAGATGAGGGACCACAGTTGCTGGCTCCTGAGCCTGGTTTCTGGAAATAGGCAGTGGGCATTTGCATGTTTCCAAGGCAAGTCTATTCATTAGATTAGTCTTGTGCTAATGCGAGGAGTAGGCAGACTTAAATACGGGATGTCATAAATCATAATGTTAATTTTAAGCTCATCCATACACAAATACTTGCATGCATACACATAAGCATGCAGTAATCGCACGCAGGCAATTACACACTTAAACAAGCCCAGTGTTTGTGTTCAGTACATGTCGGAGGTGGACATCTTCCCTTCTCTTCAGCTTTTTGTGGGGCTCCCATGAATCATTGCCTCTTATTCCTTTCTCAGCGCGGGGGAAATCACATTAAGTGGAGCGCCGTGTTTGGCTCACACCAGTCTTGTCTTAATAGCTGTAATTTGGAGTGGAGAGAAAGAAAAGGAAAGAATGGAGAAGAAAGCTCGCTCACAACACTAATTCCAGTCAACAAAAACACCCCTCTCCAATCCCACCACATTAATTTGCATTAAAATATCCAACAGCTAAATATGTAAAGGCAAAATAGTGGCATACTATTTATACCTATGCCCATCTCCTGCCATGTGTGCTATGGCAGCAGCTGTGTGTATATACAGCCTCCTGCTATTGTAGCATGCTGAGCAGACCTCCCACACCAACATGGTTTCCATTCCACCTTCACACAAGTTTGCAGGAGTGAGCATGTGGAAACAGAGCTTGCACAGTATTATGACCACCTGTTCTTCTTACATACTGTATGTCTTTAATTGTCCAAGTGATTTTGGTTAAAGCCTGGTTACTTAATGATTTTCAGTATTGGGAATTTGGATTTATTTTCATTGCAAAGAGTTGATCCTGTATAAGAAGATAAAGGTTAAAAGAGGGGTGTTACTGCACTGACCTCAATCAATGTGGTGTTGCTCTTTTTGTCGTTTCAGCCATGAAACAGTATACTACATCACTGTTCACAGTAAAGACCCTGTTTTCATTTTGTTTATTGCAAAGAAACCACTGTTGCTGCTCCTAGAAATATAAAGTTCATCACTACTAAGAGTCCATCTTATCTGAATCAACAGCAGAACAGAGTTTTCTTTTCATTATAAATGCATGTCCAGTAAAAATCCAGATTTCCTAATTGAGATGTACAACAGGTAAAGAGATGAATAAGACCTGGGGGAAGCATGTTTTTATAGGCTTTAGGTGACTAATATGTGAATAGTTGAAAGTACCAAACAAACTAGGTAGTAACTTTTAAAATGTCTTGTTTTCACAGTAGACATTAATTCAGCAGCATCTGTGATTACTGAAATTGGGTGCACCCACGCTTGGGGAAACCCACAGAACTGCTGAGTTAATGTAAATCAAATATAATAACTATCAAAAAAAGAACACATCTCAGTATTTTTTTTGTTTTGCCGCTGTTCCTAGAGGATTGAAACAACAAGGAAATTATGGTGGTTTAATGGGAAATGTATAGATGGCGAGGGTGTTGTATTTTGCTGCAGTGTTTCCTCAGTCAGCATGATGAGAGGAGATGTGTTTGATCATCTTTTGTTAAATACCTGTTTACCTGCCAAGACAGGAAAACGTGATGACTTATAATTTGAAGATTTGCCATCAAGTTTGATTCTCTGCAGCCTGAGTGCCTTTCTGCATCTGGATCCCATCTCTTTGGGTATAATGCAATGATTTTATGGCGATTCTCTGCTGCTGAATCCATGGAATTATCCATGCTAATGCTTCTTTCTAATGCTACCATCATAGTGATAATAGCATTTTCTAATCCTGTCGGTGAGCAATTGCACCTCTAGCTGTTGCAGCCCTGATCCATATAATTCCACTAACTAATGCACAAGTCACTTCCCAACTGCTCCACTGCAGAGATGAGCATCTCTTATGACTTCTAGGTTCTCAGAGCAACAAAATCAGTATACAGGCCCTGTTCATGGTCTGTCTACTGGGCACTCTTTTAGCATATTTGCAGAAAATGCATTGCAGGAAAAGTCCGAACAGTACACAAACTCTCCCTCCCTCCACAACATAATGATATAATTAGTGATGCTCCATTGAAAAATGCCTCCTGTTCCAGGCTAAAATTTGCAAAATGTTGCCTTCAACATCAATAATAAAGACTTCCTTGATTGGATATTGGAGTTGTACAAGAAAAATGGAGTCAGCACAGAGAATTGCAAATGCATAAGTAGTACATTAACTTTTTTTCACTTCAGGAAATATAGTAAATCATTACAGTGTTGCCCAAAGTCCAACCCTCAAACTAAATTAGTCATAGCTTGATTGATATTAATATCACATTAACTTTGTAACTGTATATAATCACATACAAAGTTAGGAGAGATAAATATATTCAAGTACAATTTGTTGGACCAGGAACACATACTGTATCAGAACCAGTGACAACACTCAGTACCAGAAGTGGCACAGTGATCTGTTTATAGCGCATACATGCATGCTGTGACTATTTTCTGTCATCCCTACCTCCGCTTCCCAGCGATTGCCACCCACTTCCAGCATTTCCATGGTGGCTACAGTAATCTTTGGCTTCCCTCCTCTGTGTTCAGGTGTGCAAACAGAACAGATCTTGGACAGAGGTGTTCTCTCATTCACTAAGGTGAGATAGATGGGAGGCACGTAGGGAGCCCATATGTGATGGTGGAGTCACAATAATATCATGAGAAGTGCGATGTGGATTTCTTGTTCAGATTAATTCGGGCAGATAAATTAACACAAACTTGCTGAACTGTTATGTATTTGTTTTGCTGTGCCCGATGTAAAGCTTGTTGCATATTCAATGCAATGATTCTTTTGCTTTGTGTGGCCACATGACAACCAATATTTTACTTTGATATAAAATGCTAAATCTTTAACTTTTATGGCTCTGTTTGGGCTTTGGAGGAAAGTCCTCATTTTAAACTTTTTTTAAACTTTTCAGTTGAATCATCCATCCATC